TCAGTTATCTATCACTGAAAGTTAGTGAATTGGGAACTTCACTAGATGTTAGTGCCTAAAAAAATCAGTCTGATTTTTAATAACACTTAAAACTGCCCAAACCAAACTTTAATTTGAAAACTTCTGGGGCTTAATATAAGAGAACTTGTGTTTTTTATTGTCTTTAATTGCATTGCTAACTCTTTTTTTTTTTTTAATGTATCTTTATTGATTTCAGAGAGAAGAAAGGAGAGGGAGAGAGAGAGATAGAAACATCAATGATGAGAGAATCATTGATTGAGCCCACAACCCGGGCATGTGCCCTGACCGGGAATCGAACCCCGATCGCCTGGATCCCAGGTTGACGCTCAACCATTGAGCCACGCCCGGCTGGGCACATTGCTAACTCTCTGACAGACAAATTTTAGGGTACTTCATAGTTTTTGTCTTATTTCTGCACAGTAGTTTTTTTGGTATAAATGTAATATAAACTTGAGCTACATGTGATGCTACCAATGAAAGTAACTGACATCATAATTGTATGATTAGTCATAAATGCATGTTTTCTTTTTCAGTGCATGTTTAAATCGTGGGTTTTTTTGGGTTTTTTTTAATGTGGATTTGTGGCTCGAGTATATCCTATTTTTAGAAAATTGGGGTCATAGTATACAACTCTTGAATCCATTTTCCCTAAATCACTTAAATAACAAGGAAAGTAAAAATCATAGCCAGTGATGGTAAACTTGTGTTTGATCTGACTACTTTGAGTCTGATCTCTCAGGGTCAGTGTCCTTAAGATATCCCTTCTGTTACAGTGCCTTCCCCTTTTCCACTGGCTGTCTAGGAGAATATTGTGTGAGAGTGAGAATGGGGTGAGGAGAGCTCAGGATATAATGCTTTAGAGGCTTTAATGAATGCATAGTATGATATTAGAGATTACAACGTTGAAGAAGGCAATTAATAAAAGTTGTGAAATGGGTTATGGAATTGAGAAGATTCCATTGAAACTTCAATTTACAAATATATTATTTTTGTTGTTTCAGTTGAAGGTAATCACTTTGTTTATTGTACTTTCAACCATGTGTAAGCAATTTAATTTGGACTTTGTGACTTTTCTTTTGCCCAGAAGTTCATTTAATAAGAAATCTTTTTAAGCATATTAATTATGGTAGGATCATTATGTTTTTTTCTTAATTCTTGGGGTGATTGTTCCAAAATTTTCAAATATAAAGAATTCATTTGTACCTTTTATTTCTTCAGGATACCAAGTACACTTTCTTGAATTTGTTACTGGCCAGTAGGTTCTAGATTAGATTGCATGGCAACTTTAATTATAAGCAACTTTTCTGTTAGTTTGTATCTTTTCTTAGGGAAAGGACCTGTAATCCACCAATCCAATAAATTTACTTCTAAAGTCTTTAGGTTAGTATTTTTGAAGATGAGTCAAAATACATTGCTGAACTATTTTATAGGATTTTTACATATTAAAAACTCCTGATTATGTGTAGGTGGTAGATTTTGGAAGATGTTTGCTGAGTCAGCAGTGTCTGTTTCTATGTTGAAAGCCTTTTCTAAAATTTATTTTAGGTAAAATGTTCTGAAATATGGATTCTAGAAGCAAAACTTTTTGTTTGGAGGTAAAATCAAAGCCTGCGAAGACTTACTTCATTACAAGAAGTAAAACAAATAGGTCTAGTGTATGTAGAACAAAGTAGTCGCTAGTTTTATGCTGATTTTATAATGTGATTATGTGCTCTTGAGTTTGTTTGTTTGTTTGTTTTTTAGTGGCAAAAGGTCAATCTTTATTGGTCGCTTCCTAGAAGTGGTACTGAAATGACTGGTTATAGGCTGGCTCTCCTAAGCATTAAAAAAAAAAAAGTTGAGTAGTTCTTCTAACCAATATGATTTATTTATGCTATAATTCAGTCTCTACTGTGTTTTATTTTCAAATATGTGTGTGCTTATTTCTACACATAGAGATATTATAACACTTTATGAACATATATATCTTAACTATATATGTTCAAGGTACTATTCTTAGTTTGGTGGTGGGTTAGCAAGATGAATGAATGATCAAGTCCCTGGTCTCCAGAAGTCTGATAAAGGGAGGCATGATGAGAGAGCAAGGCACTACAAAGTTGGGGCAAGAGAGGGGCAGGTTTCTTTCTCTAGAAATTGGAGTGAACAGTTAGGGGAGGAAGCTGATTTGGGCTGAATCTTGATGGGCAGAACCATAGTTGGAGCGCATTTCTGACAGAGGAATGAGCAGCATCGTGGCAGCCAGAGTGCAGAGCACAGAGAGAGAGGACCACCTGCTATGGTGAGAGTAGAGGACTTTTAGCAAGTGATATTAAAGGCAGATGTAAAGGATACATGTGATTTTGTTTTTTAGAGAACTTAAATTACTTCAGTGCAGATAGTTTTAATATACATTCAGATTATCTTAAACACACCTTAGATTTTTGTAATTCTTTTGTAAAATATGTAATTATATCTTTTAAAATTCAGATGTTCATTTTATAAGATGAAGAATTGTGTGGTGTGCTTTTATAAATGCACTGCACAATGGGTGGGGCATAGGTAAATGAGTCAACTAGAAAAACGTCTAATATTGAATCCAAAATACAGCCCTGCATATATTTATGTTTTTAGAAATTTCTCACTTTTCCAGATTGTATTGTATGTGCAAGTGGGCAGACCTGTTGAAACGTTATTTCTCACAGATTAATTCACCCTTCAAATCCTAGAATCAAATATTTAACTACCTACCTATTTATCAAATCACTATTGTGATTTTTTTCGCTTAAGGACTATAGTCCAATGGGTAAAGTTAAATGAGTGAATGAAGAAAAGGATAGAGAAAAGATAGAGAAATTGAGATACAAGACATATTAGAGTGATGAGAGAACGACTCACAGATGACAGAAAAGAGAAACCCAGGAAGAGGAGGAAAAAGACCTAACAGCTGGAACGATCTAATTAGTATTTTCCAAATGTAGATGTGTGAGTTTGTGTGTTGTGAGTGTACACATCCCAGTAGTGAAAGCAAGTATCCATTGGGGTCCAGTGCTCTATTAGTTTACTTACGTTCATTTTAGATTATAAGTTTATTTATATTTAATGTAGGGTTTCAAATGTATACCCCTATCTGGCTGTGATGTCATAGAGTCATGTATAACATATGGTATATAATGGTTCTTAGAAGACTGGAGTGGGGGGGTTCACAGACTAACAGTGGCACTCCCACTCATTCCATTCCTGGGAATTACCATGTGTTTGAGTTTACTACTGTATTATAAGTTTACTTGTGTTTGAATATGTAGATTTATGGATTATATTATATAATTTTAACCCAACCCTATAAAAATCTAGTAACTTAAAAATTTCTGCAAAGGAACTGAATATGAGAAACATGAATAAGAATAGGAAACAAGAAAATGGTAGAACTGATACAAGCTACTTAAATGAGCTTTCCCCCAGCCGTGATCTAATCTGAGAAGATGACTGAAAATTTCAGATTATCGAGGAAGATGTATTTGACACATACATTCACTGTTGGTATTGATGAGCCTTGCTCTAAGAGTAAGTTATGCCTTGAGACTTTAATGATATGAAACTATCGTGGTTAAAAGACACTTAAAAGTTAAGAAACTAGAGTGTTTTAAATAACATTAGAGCACTGTAAATAAATAATCTCTTTTTAAAAATTGGTTTTGTTTTACAGTGTGTACATAATTGAGTAGCACATGTTGCTTATTTATAAATAAATAGAATAAATGTATGCCCAAACTTTTTTCTGATAAGGGTGTTCTGCCAATTTTTGGATAACAAGTCGCCGTATATGGCTTACAGCTCAAAAACTCATGAAATTTTCAAAGTAAAATAATTGATGTTCATAACAAACAACTCTGGGAGTAAACAGAGCCTAGCAGTAATCTAATTTTTGTTTGGACTCAATCATGATATCTATAGAAAATTTCTTCAGTAGGTGGTAGAAAGGATCTACCAACTAGCTCGTAAGTGTCTTGTACCAAAATGCCTTGGGCTCATTCCTCTCTCTTGAAACACCAGAAGCTATTGGGATAGTATATGTTGATATAACCATCTATAATTTCATTTAAATGTGTGACATGCTTAATAAATGTTATTTTAATTTCTAGATTTCCTTGTAACTTAAGTTACATAGTAGAACTGAAGTTTCAGTATATGGCGGTGGAGTTGGCAATCAGCACAAATGAGAGTTCCAGTCCAGTAAAGATAAAATCTGAGGGGAGCAAACTTCAAGGGATTAAATTCTTTCTGAGTTATTCCATGTATTTGCTGAGTTATCTTTTTAGTGTTCCCTGACTTAATTTACCTGTTAGGTGTATGAGGTAAAGCTCCTACATTTCTTTCTGTGCCGTCAACATGTGCTCTGACAGGAACTTGACAGGAACAGTCACCACTGACAGGGTGTATGAGAAACCACTTGTATATTTACAAAAAAGGTTCATGGGAGATAATGTGCTGTGACTTAGCAATCGAGGAGAACTGGGTAAGCTCTATAAAATGTAAACTCTGAAGAGATTAAAGTTTAATAAGTTTTGATTGAAATGGTTTCAAAACCAATCATGTATTTCTCTTTATTAAACAGAATATATAGAAAATAAGTTGAGTGCTATTCTTCATGGCTCATGATAGTAGATTGTTAGCATACTATACTGGGCTCTTTTAAAGTAATATTTGCATGAGTTGAGTTGAATGTGGGTCAGTTTGTGCAGATTGATCTCTTGAGTCTTGTTTTGTTTATTGTGTCAGTCTTTTAGTGTTATAAAGACGCAGTGCCTGCCGTATGCTGTGCATTCAGAAGTTGCTGCTGCTGTTTACGATTACAGTTGCTTAGGGGGAGAAAGATAGTCACTGGTGGAGACCTTGAAGACATAAATGAAGAGTATTTTATACGTGTAGAATTTGGCATGAGGAATCTTTTAAACTGAACTTGTTTCAGGGCACACTGAATATTTTACTTTTCTTTTTCTCAGCATCAGCAGCAGCAACTTGTGATTGGCGGGACCGGATATTCAGTTGTACATCCCCACATCAATGCACTGCCAATGGTAAGAATTCCCACTCTGAATGTTAGATTGTTTTCATTGCTCTTTTTAGTATTCACTTATTTTTAAGAATCTGTTAAGGATTTTGAAAGTTTCTCACAATCTCACAAAATGTACATGTGTTACTAAACTAAAGAAATGTTTGTTTTTAATATGTAATTTAAGGTACTTAAAATAGTTTTTAAGTATTTAGTATTAAAAAGAGGCAAACCCTTTGAAGATTTTCATTATCTGTAGGTTTTATAACCTCTTGGTTATGGTTATCAAGACGTAAAGTATTATGTAGTGATAATTCTGTATTTTAACAAGTAGACTGTATTTTGTCAACAGAATTTTCATGTTAAACTTAAGTTATAACAGCAGTAAGAGCTCATGTTTTTGTCTATCCTCTTATATAATAGTCTGTTTTGCATATTGCATTTATCCTAATACAAGGTGTCCCCCAAAAATGTATACACACTTTAAGAGCTGATAGCTCAATTTTGAAAATGAAATGTATTTTATTAAACCCTGCCTTTATAATTACTCAAGGTGTGTGTATAAATGTTTTTGGGGCACCCTATATTTATAGTTAATGGTGAATTAAATGGCTGAAATTCTGCCTGTATTTCACTAGTTAATAATTTTCAGGAGAAACATTTTTATCTATTTAAAATTATCATTTAAAAGCTTTTCTCTGTGGAATAAAAATCTGTCAGCTGTGTTATACAGCAGAAAGACCACTGGGCTCTGTAGGAGTTGGGATTTGCTTTTTTTCTTGTGTGTGTCTTGGATGACTTTTGTCAAGTACTCATAAATTTTGATGATAGAATTGGACTAAATTCTAAAGTTTAGCTCTAGCTGTAGGCAAAATGATCTCATCACTGTTAATTAGAGTTCAGATGATTCTCCTTTACAAAAAGTAACTTCTTACCTAAATGTAAATAGGTAATTCCTTACCTATTGCTGTATAGTTTGGGGATTAATGACTAGCAGGAGAATTAATTTTTGCTTTTTGTTTTTGTTTCCCCCCGAATTAATTACTTAAACAATATCTTCTATTTTAAAGTAGTGCATCATCAAAATTTTTAATTTTTACTTAAATTTTTACTTTAAACGTTAAATCAGGGAGCTATAGAAACTGATAAAGGGTTTATAGAATTTTATGGGAAATGGTAGATGCATCACTATGAAATAAAAACTAAAAATTAACTAGAACCAGGCTAAAAGGGTGAGATAAGTTATCTGTGAAAATATTGCAAAGAGAAGATTCATTTTAAAGATGGATTTGTCAGTATGTTGATAAGGATGTCCTTTGCCTAAACTATCTTTTGAAATTTTTTTTTAAAGCCCGTTTTTTGTTTTTGTTTTTTAAAATATATCTTTATTGATTTCAGAGAGAGGAAAGGGGGGGGGGGG